AACGCGTGGGACGCGCACTGATTTTCAATTGATCGTATCACTTTTCCTTTTCGTACGATCGTGCGAAAATTTTATCCTTTCGCGGTGATTCATTGACGAATGATTATTGTCGCTTGGAAAATAGCAAGCTTATTGGCTCAGTTAGCAGACTCTCTTAGTACGGATGTTTCGGATAAGTTTTGCTGGAGCAATTTGCAAATTTCAATTTAGTAATTCCTCAATTTTTTTTCGTACTAAAAATTCCTAGACCTCGTTCCCTACATTACAAATCCCTAGATCGCCAAATATACCTCCGAGTCCCTAGATACTGAGTTCCTAGTTACTGAAATTACCAGATCCCGAATTCCAATGTTTTCAACAGGTCCCTAAATCCGGAAATCCCTGGATCTCAAAATCCCTATATTCAGAAATCCCGAGATCCCCAATATACTTAACCCCAAATTCTCTGAATCCCGAATTCACTAAAAACTCCAAATTCCCTAGATTTCAAATTCACTAAACCCAAATTCTCTAGATTCCAAATTCCCAAGGTTCCAAATTCCCTAGATCCCAAATTCTCTAGATCCCAAATTTAGTAGATCCTAAATTTCCTAGACCTCGGATCCCTAGATCCCAAATTCCCTAGATCCTAAATTTCCTAGACCCCGGATCCCTAGATCCCAAATTCCCTAGACCCCGGATCCCTAGATCCCAAATTCCCTAGACCCCGGATCCCTAGATCCCAAACCCCTACATCCTAAATTCCCTAGATCCTAAATCCCAAATTCCCTAAATTCCAAACCCCTAGATCCTAAATTCCCTAGATCCCAAATCCCTAAATCCCAAATTCCCTAGATCCCAAATTTCCTACATTTCAAATTCCCTAGGTCCCAAATTCCCTAAATTCCAAACCCCTACATCCTAAATTCCCTAGATCCTAAATCCCAAATTCCCTAAATTCCAAACCCCTAGATCCTAAATTCCCTAGATCCCAAATCCCTAAATCCCAAATTCCCTAGATCCCAAATTTCCTACATTTCAAATTCCCTAAATTCCAAACCCTACATCCTAAATTCCCTAGACCCCAAATCCCAAATTCCCTAAATTCCAAACCCCTACATCCTAAATTCCCTAGACCCTGATTCCCTAAATCCCAAATTCCCTAGATCCCAAATTTCCTACATTCCAAATTCCCTACAATTCCAAATTCCCTAGATCCCAAATTCCCTAAATTCCAAACTCCTACATCCTAAATTCCGTAGACCCCAATCTCTAAATTCCAAATTCCCTAAATTCCAAACCTCTACATCCTAAATTCCCTAGATCCCAAATCCCAAGCCCCTAGATGTCAGATCCCCAGATCTTCCGATAGCAAAATGGAACTTCCGACAGCAAAATTTTGGCACTTCATATTGCGGTTACCATTGAGAATTCAATAACGCGGACAGCCAGTTAGCGTGGCGGATGCGATTATCTTGGCGGAGTAATTGGTGTATAATGAACAACGTCAAAGTTAGAAACAGCGTGAACACCGGTGATCGCGGTAATTTCGGGGCAGCCGATGCAACGCGATTCCGTTTTGATGCATGACCTGTATTCGATAATCCTCAAATCTAATTCTATACCGGTGGCGTAGAACGAAGGGTAAATGGATTTGTATCGCGTGTACATCGATGCGTTCGGTTTGTTCTGTCGTGCAAATATTGACGCCGCTGTTAGTGCGTCGAATAATGAAATAACGGTTGCGCGATGATGCTTCTATCGTTGCGCCATATTGGTCGATCGACTCGAAACCGCGATATAATAGAAATCCCCGTTATATTTTGCACGTTGCGCCCTTTTTCTGGTGATCCGAAATCGTTCGCGTTTTGACTCGAGCGTTTTCGATTATATTGTCAACGCGCGGAGTGGTTAAATCGATCACTTGTCACTTTGAGCTCGCGGAGGTTTATCGACGAAATTATTGGTAGATAGCAGATACCACTTGTTGTGTGTAGACTTCCATGACATGTCAACAATTTGTACCTTTGTGACTCGTTTGGAATAGAATGATCATTTGGATTTTGTTCTCATGAGGACTAGGATGTATTCAAGTGGATCTCAACATATGAATATATATTATACATGTGCATTTATACATACATGTGTTCAACATACATGCATGTATTTATATAAAAATATGTTCTACATACACAGATACATATACATATGCCATATATCATATCATATGTTCTACATGTACAGATACATACATACACATATGTCATACATCATACATACACCATCCACATATCATACGTGCATCATACACACATCATATACATGAGACACATGTGTGATGCATACGTACATACATACATCGACACATACATATATTACACACATGTAATCCACATGTGCACAGGTACATATATACACACTCTCAAACCAAATGTCATATATGCGAGACACATGTGTGATGCATACGTACATACATACATCGACACGTACATATATTACATACATGTAATCCACATGTGCACAGGTACATACATACACACCCTCAAACCAAATGTCACATATGCGAGAAACATGTGTGATACGTACATACATACATCGACACGTACATATATTACACACATGTAGTCCACATGTGCATAGGTACATACATACACACCCTCAAACCAAATGTCATATATGCGAGACACATGTGTGATGCATACGTACATACATACATCGACACGTACATATATTACATACATGTAATCCACATGTGCACAGGTACATACATACACACTCTCAAACCAAATGTCATACATGCGAGACACATGTGTGATGCATACGTACATACATACATCGACACGTACATATATTACACACATGTAGTCCACATGTGCACAGGTACACACACACACCCTCTCAAACCAAACCTCATCAGATTTGAATCAAAGGTACTTTTTTCCGCATAAAGATATTTTTGTACCCTAATGAAAAGAGTAAAAATCGACTACGAAAGATGTCGATGTGAAAAGGTCGACCGCCTAATTTTAGTCGACACACGGTAGTTGAAGTGTCTGTAGATCTAGGCTACGATTGTTGAAGGGTTAATAATAAACGTTGCTCGCATCTGTTCGTCGGACGACAGAAACATTTACAATATAAGACGAGAGAGCTCGCGAAAGTTAAGCGGCTCGTAAAACACGCCGAGTCTCGTAGACAGACGATAGCGAAACGAGCAACGGACGCTGTACGAGCACCGTTAGACGACTAAAAGTTGAACGAGCCAGCTCCGGTACAGGGCTAGAGTATGAATTTCCCCGAGTGGTTGCACGTTTTCCCGTGCGCGTTTTTTCCCCCCAGTAGCACGATGTTAAAAGCTCGTTTACGCCGGCGGAGGATGTGTCCGGAGTTAGGTCGAAGTTAACCGAGAGAGCCATTAGCTTAAAACTGTTAGCCGACCCTGTGCAACCTGCCGGCGAAAAGAAATACCCCGGAAAAAGAGCTTTGAAAGTCTTTAGAACGCCCGTATCATGAAAATGCCCGGTCAGCTTGAGATAGTGCCTTTAGTACTCTTCAGACTAATTTCGATCACATGGGTTCTGATGAGGAATTTCGAGAGGTCAAAATTTGATCTTCAGATTTTTATATTGGGGAGGTGTGAGTTTTGTTTGGGGAATTTAGCGAGTTGGAGGTTGCAAATTTGGGGAGTTATTAATTTGGGGACGTAGAACGGAGTGTAGGAATTTGGGTGCGTAGAAATTTAGGGGTGTAGAGATTTGGGGAGATGGAAATTTGGGGACGTAGAAATTTGGGAGGGTGGGGATTTGCTAGCTTGGAAATTTGGGGGCGTAGAGATTTGGGGACGTAGAAATTTGGGAAGGTGGGAATTTCCTAGCTTCGAAATTTGGGGGCGTAGGAAATTGGGGAAAATAGAAATTTGGGGGTGTAGAGATTTGGAGACGTAGAAATTTGGAAGGGTGGGAATTTGCTAGCTTCGAAATTTGGGGGCGTAGGAAATTGGGGAAAATAGAAATTTGGGGGTGTAGAGATTTGGAGACGTAGAAATTTGGAAGGGTGGGAATTTGCTAGCTTCGAAATTTGGGGGCGTAGGAAATTGGGGAAAATAGAAATTTGGGGGTGTAGAGATTTGGGGGAGTTGGAAATTTGGGGTGTAGGGATTTGATAACTTGGAAATTTGGGTTCATAGAAATTTGGCACTCTAGGTATCTAATAGACATAGAAATTTAATTTCGAACATCATAGAACACCTCGAAACCACAAACTCGAATAGCAAAATTAACAACCACAAACCCAGTCCTGTACAAACCTCAAATTCTCGCAATGATATCTCGAAAATGTGAGCATTGAATTTGCAACCTCGAAAATGAGAAAATTTCCTGGATCTCCAAAGGAGTAACGAGGAAAGTAGTTTAGATACCGGCTGGCTGGTTTGCTCGATATGCATTTTAAGCCGGACCACTCAATTAAGCTCGCAGCTATCCTTCGGTATTTGCATATCAATATGGATCCATGCCAAGATGGAAAGATTCGCCTCGCTCGCTGGATTTGGATTACTCGAGGAATACCGGGACCAGATGGATGTAAGTCGTCGAAATAAGTACGATAAAGTCTGCTTCCCTTTCGAACGATCACGGATCTTACCTTTCGTTATCTGCCACTCTGCCATTTCGAACGAATTGGCAGCGAAATTAAAGTGGAACGAATCGACTCAGAACTTTATCTAAATTCGAATAATTACCCTGCAAATTGCAATTGAATACTGGTGAATCGAAAGTAGCGACTGTACCTATTAATCTTCTGACTTATCGTTACACTTCAGATATAGTAAATCAAAATTATATTCGCAGCACGAATTAGTTTGGAACAGCAATTTGCATAATCAAGGATCTCTATATTCAAAATATGACTATATTTCTTTTGACTCAACATTGCAGCAATAGTTTGACGTAATTGTAAAAGAGATCAATTGTAAAGACCTAACCTTAGGGTTAGGGGGTTAAATAAGGGAGACAGAATGATACCTGTGACATGTGCTGCGGTCTGGTCGCCGTCGAAGTCATGTGTACAACGGAAGCTCGAGGCATTTTAAAGCTGTTCTCGCCCTCGTCCGGCACGGTTGTTACCTGCAACAGAAACATAGATACCAATGACAACCTCATAAACTCCACCGCATCCCACATTATACATCAAACCAAATTCCCTTCGACCCTGTCGAATCTTCAACTCCCTTTTATCTCTACGATTCGATTTTCCACTTTCGAACGTTTCGATAACTTTCGCCTCTGAGATCAGTCATGCTGACATCCCCTGTCCTAGACCATTCACTGTTATCTTTTCTTTCGGAACTCGAGGTAACAACACTCGAGAGTAGCGATGTGTTGAAATATCATACGTTCGCAATTTGTGTTACATATGATATGTTACATGTGTTACATATATGTAATATGTAGACATATGTATATTACATGCGTTACATATATGTAATATGTAGACATATGTATATTACATGTGTTACATATATGTAATATGTAGACATATGTATATTACATATATTACATATATTACATATATTACATATATGTAATAGTATATATACATATACAATTATATATGTATATACATATACATATACATATACATATACATATACATATACATATACATATACATATACAATATGTACATATACATATGTATACATATATACATATGTCTATTGACATTATTAAAAATACAGGGTATAGAGAGACTTAGGGAATCTAGACAGGAAGCTAGAAACGAATACAAGGATCTAAAATATAGAAACAGAGGCCTAGAAACACAGGAATATTGCAACATCCCTTTCCAAGAAAGACCTGAGTCGTGACAACAGCCAAGTTATATTGCCACAGATGTCCCTCCATTACATTATATCGTTCATACGTTTCCTACTAAAAGATGCGAAAATACCCAGATCGGTTGCAACACGTAATGTAAATAGGATTTCCACGAACATTGGCAAAACGACAGCGATCGAACTGGGTAACGACACCGAGAAAAACGAGGCAGCCGAGGTTTACGATCGTCCAGAAAACACGAAACAAAGAGGGAAGACTGTAAGTAACAGCCCACGATAACAGTTTCCATAGGGAAGCATTGTCCATGGGAGCTGGACAGATATAATTGTCCTCGGTACGGGCAATTGTGCCGCCCACTCGTGCTTCCCGCGGAGACCATATTATTTCTCTCTCTTTTTTCACCTTCGCGGCTGGAAGCCAGTTACATCTAAATCCTCTCTCGGAGGCATTCGTGGCATGGCTCGTTTATTCGCATCCACCTGACCAGCTGGCGAGAGTGGTTCCGCTCGCTTGATAGCCGCTCGAAAAGTGTCACCGGGGGCGTTCACCGTTCAAACGATATTAGACAGGCCTCCGGACCCCTGGGACACAGACATGTGTATGCGTGTGTGCTTTATTCAATCGACTATGCTAACCCGGTTACTGGAACTGTCCGTTTCGTTCACGCCTTGCGTGATTTACCGACGAAAACGAATCTTTCTTCTCGCCGATCCCGGACCGAGATACCCACCGGACAAATGTATCTCGATGGAGAGATTATGAGAAGATCGAGCACATGGAGATACCAATGGAAAGTCAGGAATTTATGGTGCAGTGGAATTCGGGGATTTGGAGATTTGGGCTATTAAGGATTTGGGAGAAGTTTAGAAATTTAGTTTGGGGAGGATGGGGACATTTGGGATTTCAATATGTAGAGATTTGGAACTTCAGTATGTGGACATTTGGAACTTGAGTGTGTGAACATTTGGAACTTCAGTATGTAGACATTTAGGGCTTGAATATGTGGAAGTTTGAGACTCGAGTATGTGGACATTTGCGACTTGAGTATGTGGACATTTGGAACTTCAGTATGTGGACATTTAGGGCTTGAATATGTGAAAGTTTGGGACTCGAGTATGTGGACATTTGCGACTTGAGTATGTGGACATATGGAACTTCAGTATGTGGACATTTAGGAATAGAATATATAGAAGTTTGGGACTCGAGTATGTGGACCTTTGCGACTTGAGTATGTGGACATTTGGAACTTCAGTATGTGGACATTTAGGGCTTGGATATGTGGAAGTTTGGGACTCGAGTATGTGGACATTTGCGACTTGAATATGTGGACATTTGGAACTTGAGTATGTGGACATTTAGAGCTTGAATATGTGGAAGTTTGAGGCTTGAATATGTGGACATTTGCGACTTGAGTATGTGGACATTTGGAACTTCAGTATGTGGATATTTAAGGCTTGAATATGTGGAAGTTTGGGACTCGAGTATGTGGACATTTGCGACTTAAGTATGTGGACATTTAGGGCTTGAATATGTGGAAGTTTGGGACTTGAGTATGTGGAAGTTTGGGACCTGAGTATGTGGACATTTGGAACTTCAGTATGTGGACATTTAGGGCTTGAATATGTGGAAGTTTGGGACTCGAGTATGTAGACATTTGCGACTTGAGTATGTGGACATTTGGAACTTCAGTATGTGGATATTTAAGGCTTGAATATGTGGAAGTTTGGGACTCGAGTATGTAGACATTTGCGACTTGAGTATGTGGACATTTGGAACTTCAGTATGTGGGCATTTAGGACTTAAATATGTGGAAGTTTGGGACCTGAGTATGTGAACATTTGCGACTCCCATATATGGACATTTCGGACTTCAATATGTGAACATACTGAACAACAAACTTATGAATCCAGTGATTTTGAGACCTATAGAATTTGAAGATGAAATTTGAATAGCGCAAAGAAAGCACTCGCGGTTTCTTCGTTGTTTCTAGCGTGCAAGCATGATTTATAGAGCAATCTCACCCTTAGGCGGCTTACAGTCGAGCGTGGGCTCTGATAAGGAAATTTAGGAGGCGTGTACCGGCCAATATTCCTGAGCTAGACGTACCGTCTCGAGAATTCGCATTTTTTTATCGTCCGGTTGTTTATTGCGATAGGTTCAAGTTCCCCGATAGCCGAACAGAGGTCGGATAATTATAGACGAGCGGTCGAGACTCTGCATGCTAGATACCCTCTTATAATTGAGATACCGTCCGACGAGGTACAAATGTTTGTTCCTACACAATAGACCGAGTAAATCACCGGTATACGTGTCCCTTTCCTCCCACGCTCCACTTATTCCTTTCGGAGCTCGGCTTCGTGGATTTAAACGAGAATCGATCATCGCGGAAAATCTCTCAAGCTTAATCAATTACCGTAGATGCGTTGAGTATCGTGGATTTTTCTGGTTAATTTATCCAGAGTAATTACGATGGAATCGGTTTTACAACCCTCTCTCTCTCGTAACCACACAAATATAAAAAGATGAACTAACCATAAAACGCTCATAAAACTCCACGGTACAAGTTCATGCATGAAATTGATTCGCCGGAATGATCAATCTCGAATGAGCGGCAATAAATTTTCAGGACAACTGTTTTATGTCGATCGTTTTTTCCCTCCTAGCTTCGATAGATTCGCGTCCCCTTACTCGACACCACTTTGTCCCCGGCTGTTCGCGGACTACCACAGTCGATTTTCAATAATCGACAAGATAGCAGATAAGCTCGGCAACGTCCCCTCAGTTGCGATTTCTCACGTTTTCTCCCTGGCGAGGCTCTCCCTTCCCCGGGGGATTTATCCCTAGTGCAACCGCCTCCAGGTTTGTGGAGCATCCTGGCGAATCGTGGCTGAAATCAATATCCTCGGAATGCCGGGAAGCTCGGCTACGAACGATCCTATCGAAACCGATTTCGAAGACTAATCGAACCACCCTCTGGGTTTGTTACCGTTGTCATCGTATGGAACGTGAGGAATCTTAATCGAACAATTATATACTTTCTTTGTACTACAAATATCTGACCATGCTTTCACATATGTGTATGTGTATGTATATGTCTATGTATATATCTATGTATGTGTGTATTCATATGTGTATGTATATGAATATGTATATGAATATATGTATGCATATGTGTATGCATATGTGTACATATGTACGTATGTACATGTCTATATGAATATATGTATGCATATGTGTATGCATATGTGTACATATGTACGTATGTACATGTCTATATGAATATATGTATGCATATGTGTATGCATATGTGTACATATGTACGTATGTACATGTCTATATGAATATATGTATGCATATGTGTATGCATATGTGTACATATGTACGTATGTACATGTCTATATGAATATATGTATGCATATGTGTATGCATATGTGTACATATGTACGTATGTACATGTCTATATGAATATATGTATGCATATGTGTATGCATATGTGTACATATGTACGTATGTACATGTCTATATGAATATATGTATGCATATGTGTATGCATATGTGTACATATGTACGTATGTACATGTCTATATGAATATATGTATGCATATGTGTATGCATATGTGTACATATGTACGTATGTACATGTCTATATGAATATATGTATGCATATGTGTATGCATATGTGTACATATGTACGTATGTACATGTCTATATGAATATATGTATGCATATGTGTATGCATATGTGTATGTGTGTATATATGTGTATTCATATGTGTATATGTGTATGTATGTGTGAATGTATATGTGTGTATATATGTGTATGCATATGTGTATGTATGTATGTATGTATGTATATGTGTGTATATATGTGTATGTATATGAATATATGTATGCATATGTCTATGCATATGTGTATATGTATATGTATGTATGTACATGTCTATATGAATATATGTATGCATATGTGTATGCATATGTGTACATATGTACGTATGTACATGTCTATATGAATATATGTATGCATATGTGTATGTATATGTGTATATATGTATGTATATGTCTGTGTATACGTATATACCTGTCTATGTCTATGAATACGTATATACCTGTCTATGTCTATGTCTATATCTGTATCCATATGTCCATACATTTCTACGCATCCTTCAGACATCCCACAGACATAGACACCTAACACCAAATAATACTAAACAGCACATAATCTAAACATCAAAAACATCTACATAAATTATCAAATTGCAATTTGCAGATAAGAAAGAAGGAAATTAA